AAGAAATATTTTCCGTCATTTCATGAAATAATTAATTTTTTTTGTGTGACATCTAATTAAGAATTTTTTTAAATTATGGAATTTGAAACACAAGGAAAAATATTCTAAGAATGAGAAATTCAGAATTTTAATTTATAGAATCTAGATTTTAAAAAATTATTTATAATTGTGTTTTCCCTCCCAAAAATCGTATTTCTTAAAAAGAACAAATTGCCAAACATTGTATTAAATTCTTATACAATATAAAAGACAATAAATATGATAAATTGCATTTGAATTTTATTTTTAAATGTATTTTTATTACACTTCCTGGGCATGATTATCGATAATAAAGACGTTGATTGCTAGTCAGAGGAAACGCAGATTGAAATAAACTACTATGATAAATAAATCAATATTAACACCTCATTTTCGTGCATTTTATTATGAAAATATAAGATATAAGGTAGAATAATATATTTCTTTTATTTTTTCAATTTCAGGAGGCTGGGGGGTCAACAAATTAACCATCAGATATAACTTAATTTTTTAGACATGATATCTTAAGCTGTAAACTATCATTTGGCAAACAAAAATTTCATACATTTTAGTTTTAAAATTTGATCATTTTTGTATATCTTTATATGGAGCTCTTCTTCTAAAGGAGATCAATATAGTCTGAAAATGGCCACAACCACCCAGCCCTCTTAATATTAGTTGCTTATGTCTGTTTATCAAATATATTATCTTAAATACCTGGATGTCAAGGAGCAAAAGATCACCAACTTTGCCAGTGAATAAATCCTGATTTTGTACAATAAAGTCGTATTTTTGTAAAATGCAAACTCTTAAAACACCTTTAATTTATCATTTCGGAGTGGTTTTACATTTGCAAAATGATGCGTTACTTTGCACTGGCGTTTTTTGTAAACCCCTACTTTTTGCTCGTATCCCTGTTTGGGGATATGGTTTTCCAATTTCCGTTTACTCCTATTTGTGGGGGTTTGACCAGACTGATAAATAGAATAGCAAAAAAAGATAGACCTTATTACAGTGGTGGCTACGGTTGGCAGATCTAAGTTACTGGCAATTTTTAGCTCACCTGAGCTGAAAGCTCAAGTGAGCTTTTCTGATCACTTTTTGTCCGTCGTCCGTCTGTCCGTCTGTCTGTCCGTCCGTCTGTAAACTTTTCACATTTTTGACTTCTTCTCCAGAACCACTGGGCCAATTTCAACCAAACTTGCCATGAAGCATCCTTGGGTAAAGGGGATTCAAGTTTGTTCAAATGAGGGGCCATGCCCTCTTTCAAGGGGAGATAATTAGGAATTACTGAAAAAATAGTGGCATCATTTAAATATCTTCTTCTCAAGAACCACTAGGCCAGGAAAGATGAAACTTATTTGGAAACATCCTCAGGTAGTGTAGATTCAAGTTTGTTCAAATCATGACCCCCGGGGGTAGGGTGGGGCCACAATGGGGGATCAAAGTTTTACATAGAAATATATAGGAAAAGATCTTAAAAAATCTTCTTAAGAACAGCAAAGTCATGATTGGTCATATTTATTTGCAAGCATCCTCAGGTAGTGTAGATTCAAGTTTGTTCAAATCATGACCCCCAGGGGTAGGGTGGGGCCACAATGGGGGATCAAAGTTTTACATAGAAATATATAGGAAAAGATCTTAAAAAATCTTCTTCTTAAGAACAGCAAAGCCATGATTGGTCATATTTATATGGAAGCATCCTCAGGTAGTGTAGATTCAAGTTTGTTCAAATCATGACCCCCAGGGGTAGGGTGGGGCCACAATGGGGGATCAAAGTTTTACATAGAAATATATAGGAAAAGATCTTTAAAAATCTTCTTCTTAAGAACAGCAAAGCCATGATTGGTCATATTTATATGGAAACATCCTCAGGTAGTGTAGATTCAAGTTTGTTCAAATCATGACCCCCGGGGGTAGGGTGGGGCCACAATGGGGGATCAAAGTTTTACATAGAAATATATAGGAAAAGATCTTAAAAAATCTTCTTAAGAACAGCAAAGTCATGATTGGTCATATTTATTTGCAAGCATCCTCAGGTAGTGTAGATTCAAGTTTGTTCAAATCATGACCCCCGGGGGTAGGGTGGGGCCACAATGGGGGATCAAAGTTTTACATAGAAATATATAGGAAAAGATCTTAAAAAATCTTCTTAAGAACAGCAAAGTCATGATTGGTCATATTTATTTGCAAGCATCCTCAGGTAGTGTAGATTCAAGTTTGTTCAAATCATGACCCCCAGGGGTAGGGTGGGGCCACAATGGGGGATCAAAGTTTTACATAGAAATATATAGGAAAAGATCTTTAAAAATCTTCTTCTTAAGAACAGCAAAGCCATGATTGGTCATATTTATTTGGAAACATCCTCAGGTAGTGTAGATTCAAGTTTGTTCAAATCATGACCCCCGGGGGTAGGGTGGGGCCACAATGGGGGATCAAAGTTTTACATAGAAATATATAGGAAAAGATCTTAAAAAATCTTCTTAAGAACAGCAAAGTCATGATTGGTCATATTTATTTGCAAGCATCCTCAGGTAGTGTAGATTCAAGTTTGTTCAAATCATGACCCCCGGGGGTAGGGTGGGGCCACAATGGGGGATCAAAGTTTTACATAGAAATATATAGGAAAAGATCTTAAAAAATCTTCTTAAGAACAGCAAAGTCATGATTGGTCATATTTATTTGCAAGCATCCTCAGGTAGTGTAGATTCAAGTTTGTTCAAATCATGACCCCCGGGGGTAGGGTGGGGCCACAATGGGGGATCAAAGTTTTACATAGAAATATATAGGAAAAGATCTTTAAAAATCTTCTTCTTAAGAACAGCAAAGCCATGATTGGTCATATTTATATGGAAGCATCCTCAGGTAGTGTAGATTCAAGTTTGTTCAAATCATGACCCCCAGGGGTAGGGTGGGGCCACAATGGGGGATCAAAGTTTTACATAGAAATATATAGGAAAAGATCTTAAAAAATCTTCTTCTTAAGAACAGCAAAGCCATGATTGGTCATATTTATATGGAAACATCCTCAGGTAGTGTAGATTCAAGTTTGTTCAAATCATGACCCCTGGGGGTAGGGTGGGGCCACAATGGGGGATCAAAGTTTTACAAACGAATATATGGGGAAAAAATCTGCTGCTCAAGAACAGCAAAGCCATTTGTTATATTGATATGAAAGCATCATTAGGTAGTTTAAAATTCAACCTCCACCCCCCACCCCCCCCACCCCCCATAAACTTTGCAATACTGAACTGATTTTTGCTTTTTTTCCTAGCCAATGTGCTCAGGTGAGCGATGTGGCCCATGGGCCTCTTGTTTTAGTGAATCTGACAAAAAGCAAATCGTAATTATTTGATAAAATGTCATTGATGAATTTTTCAACCAAAACTTGATTTAAAGGACTTATCGCATGTTTCTAAATTATTTGAAATTAAAAGTGTAAAAGCTTCATTATGACCACAGTTTATAAATTAAGTGTTTTTAATGCGGATAAACCGCAGTAATTAACCAATTATTGACTCAAATGAAAACCCCTGTATTAAAAATTTAAGTTAATTAGACAGCGATCACGTGATCATACAGAAAAAATAAGTTTTGATAATTGATTTAAGTACAAAATGTCATCCCCGATCTTAATATCTGGATGGAAATGTTCCGATGGCATTGAACCAGGTGTTCACTGTTGAAAAGAAAAAAAATGAGGCGATTGTCACTAAATGAATATAAAAAAAAAAACTTTGATGTGAACAGACATGGGCATAATGGTAAAGGAACTGAAAACAATATTAGTTAATACTTTCTAAGAGAAAATGTGAATTATTGAATATGATATTGTTCAAAGATATGACAGGTAGTCACTATATGCTGGGAATTGTATTCTAGGAATTTTCAAAGTGCATGAATAAATTTACTAAATAGGAAAACATGACCTCTTTCCTGTTGTTTGTCCCTCATCATAGCTTTATTCTAGTTGTGTTGAGCGTTAATTTAGTTTTTGAAAGAAAATCAAAAACAAGTTTTTTTAAAACTTGTTTAACACTTTGGTTACATTGTATGGATTAAAATGACAAGATTATATATGCCCAAAAAAGAAAAAAATCAAACAATCCAATAATCACAAAGAAGACTCCAGGATTTTTTTTAAAGGAAAAAAAAGCGTAAACAAATTGTCTACGCTTCTTGTCAAAACCATTTTAAATACCATAATGTAAATGGACTCAAGGCTGTGTGCATGCAGACAACATGAGGGACATAGCATCATTTTTCGAACTGGGGGGCAGCTACACTGCAGCTCTCTGGTCGTCCATCCCAAATTTTTCAGACTGCGACCTACAAATTTGCAGATATCATGAATTATCAAGGATTGTCTTGAGAGTCGGTGAAAGCTTTGTCCATATTTCCAGCTAAGCCAAATCTCAATGGCGATTAACATAATATTAAAGTTTTTTTAAAGGAAACTTTAGAATTTTTATAGAGTGAATAGAAATGTCATCTTCCATGTAATGCACCTTTCTGATTTTTTTAAAACAGGTTTTCTTTTGAGATATCAACTCTTGGTGTAGTCACACATGTTTATCATCCAAAGGGAGAAGATGAGGAAGTTGTAGCCACAAAGAAAGGATTTGCAGCCTTATTTGCATCAAGACTGCATAAAAAAGGAGATGTACATAGACTTTCTATTAAAAATACACTGGAAATAAATTATATATGCAAGATATAAATGATGGAAAGATTATAGTCCTAAATGTAATGATATTTTCTTTTTGTATTTAGATCCTTGGAGTTGAAAACAGCAATGGCTTTACTTACAATACAACAGAAAATGGAAGTGAAGGTACATCCCTGAACTAAGGGTGGGATAATTTGAAAATCTAAAAATGAGGATATTTTCAAACCCCCCTACATGATATTTTAGATCTGCCGCTGCAAAATACCAAATTTTGAGACTCGACAAATTCAATGGCCTTTTCTCATTTACTTATAGGTGAACACAATGCAACATACATTGTATCCCCTGTAGACGATGGCGTGACATTCACTAAAATCAGACATGGACATCCCGTTATTAATGCAAGGGCAAATTATACTAAGGTTAGTATTTTTCTTGTACTGTATGACAAAATTTGTCTTTCATATGCATATGATCACCTGTAATAAATATGAAAACGATTTGTAGTTTGCGTTTTTATGCTAACCTGAGTCAAAGGCTCCATTCAGCGAGTTATTCTGACCCAAAGTAGTCCTTTGTTTTTCTGTCACCTGTTCACTTTTCACATCTTTTACTTTTTATTCAGAACCATGAGGCCAAATCTCATTACACGTACTTGACTCAAAGGTTTGTTGCTACAAAAATCGTTCAAAAAGGGGATGTAATTAAAAAAAGGTAAAAATAGGGTGGGGTAAAATTTTTTTTAAAAAAATCAAGAACCGCTGGTCCAGAGATATGAACTTGTAAAAAATGAAAACTTCTAGACATTATATAAATTTTAAATTGTTTAGACATGGCCCCTTGGGATGGGTTGGGTCCACAATAAGGGATCAAAATTTTATGAGAATATAAAGAGAAAATCTTCAAAAATGTTCTTCAGAATAACTGGACCATTAAAGAAGAAACTTATGTGAAAGCTTCCTGATATAAGATAGATTCTAAATTATTCACATTATCCCCCCACCCCCCACCCCCACCACCACCAGGAGGTGGGTCAAGAAAGGGGATAAAAAATTATACATGTATTTGTGAATAGGCATATATGTGAGAAAAGTGTTTTATTTGTAGTTGAGTCAATCTATGAAATTCTTTGTTAAAATTTGTTACTTTTAGCTCACCTGAACTGAAGGCTCTAGTGAGATTTTCTGGTCAAAATTTGTCTGTTGTGGTTGTTGGTGTTGGCAGCAAATTTTTAACATTTTAGCTCACCTGAACTTTCAGGCAAGCTTTTGTGATTTAGATTGTCCAGCATCTGTCGTCTGTAAACTTTTCACATTTTTGACTTCTTCTCAAGAACCAGTGAGCCATTTTCAACCAAACTTGCCACAAAGCATCCTTGGTTGAAGGGAATTCAAGTTTGTTCAAATGAAGGGCCATGCTCTCTTTCAGGATGAGATTAGTGAAAAGTGAAAATTTAATGGCATCTTTTAAAAGTCTTCTCTAGAACCACTGGGTCAGAAAAGATGAGATGTATGTGAAAGGGGTATTAAAAGTTTTTTATGGTTACCCGACCGACCCTATATTTAATTGCCGACCCAAATTTTTTTCGTCGGAAAAAATCCGGAAGTCACTCACCAGTCTGTTTAACATTTACATGCATCTTAATCGGTCAAGCGTTTGAAATGGAAATCGAAAGTACTAGAAACAAAATTTAAAAACAAAAAAGTTTAATAACAACATCAACGTGTTCATGTCTATTGCCCATATGGCAAGCCCAAACAAAAGTAAAGCACCCACAATGATAAAACTGTTTTGTATTTCAACCAATTCATGTGAATTTGTGTATAAAAAAATTCAATAAAATAAAAAAAAAATCCTACCTACCTACTCTATTTTATTTCAGCATGTAACCGTAAACAAACATATTTATTTATTACGCCAAAGATTCATTACATAGTGTTGATTTAATTTTGTTCAAATCATGACCCCCAGGGAAAGGATGGGGCCGCAATGCCCAATCAAAATTTTCTCCAGAAAACACACACACACACACACAAAAAAGAATTTTTTTTAAACATTTAGAAACATCCTTAGGTAGTTAAATTAAAGTTTGTTCAAATCATGACCCTAGGGCTAGAATGGGGCTTCAATGGGTGATCAAAGTTTTTTTTTCATAGGAATATATAGGAGAAAGAGAATCTGCTGATGGAAAAACCAAGTTACTCAGGTTAGCATTGTGGCCCATGGGCCTCTTGTTCTAAAATGTGACATTAATATTTTGGACTTGTAATAAATTCTGAACTTAAACCAAGTTTTATTATTTGCAAGAACATTACATACAAAAAGCTTCTAAAGAATAGAAGAAAGCCATGATTTAGTCATATAAATATGCAAGCATTCTGAGATGTTGCAGATCTATTAAATTTTTAGGTCACCTGAGTCACTCAGGTGACCTATTGCTATTTTTTTTTCGCCGTCGTCGTCCGTCGTGTGTTAACATTTGAACATTTTCAGCTTCTTCTCTGAAACCGCTGAACCAATTTCAGCCAATTTTTGCATATGGCATCTATGTGTGAAGGGGAACAAAATTTGTGAATTTCATGGTCCCTGCCCCCCTGGGGCCTGAGGGGTGGGGCTTAAACCACCAAAATTAATGCAATCTTTAAAAATCTTCTTCTTTACTCCTGGACATCAAGCAGTCAAACTGTTGACATGATTGTAATAAGCATTGAGCCCTCTACCAAAATTGTGAAATTCATGGCCCCAGGGTCAGGGGTTCTGGTGCTAGGGCAGGGCTATTTAGATCATATAGTGAAAGTGCATTATTTCTTTGAAAATCTTCTTCTCTACTCCTGGGTATTACTGAAACAAATTGAATACATAGTTATGATAAGCAAGAGTGACTCTACCAAAATTGTGAAATTCATAGCCCCAGGGTCATTGGTTCTGGTGTGTGTGGGGGGGGGGGGGCTATATAGATCATATAGTGAAAGTGCATTATTTCTTTGAAAATCTTCTTCTCTACTCCTGGGTATTATTTAAACAAATGAAATACATAGTTATGATAAGCAAGAGTGACTCTACCAAAATTGTGAATTTCATGGCCCCAGGGTCAGGGGTTCTGGTGCTAGGGTGGGGCTTTATAGATCATATAGTGAAAGTGCATTATTTCTTTCAAAATCTTCTTCTCTACTCCTGGGTATTATTTAAACAAATTAGATATATAGTTATGATAAGCAAGAGTGGCTCTACCAAAATTGTGAAATTCATAGCCCCAGGGTCAGGGGTTCTAGTGCTGGGGGGGGGGCTATATAGATCATATAGTGAAAGTGCATTATTTCTTTGAAAATCTTCTTCTCTACTCCTGGGTATTATTGAAACAAATTGAATACATAGTTATGATAAGTAAGGATTAGTCTAACAAAATTGTGAAATTCATAGCCCCAGGGTCAGGGGTTCTGGTGCTGGGGGTGGGGGTGGGGGGGAGGGGGCTATATAGATCATATAGTGAAAGTGCATTATTTCTTTGAAAATCTTCTTCTCTACTCCTGGGTATTATTGAAACAAATTGAATACATAGTTATGATAAGCAAGGATTAGTCTACCAAAATTGTGAAATTCATAGCTCCAGGATTAGGGGTTCTGGTGCTAGGACGGGGCTATATAGATCATATAGTGAAAGTGCATTATTTCTTTGAAAATCTTCTTTTCTATTCCTGGGTATTATTTAAACAGATTAAATACATAGTTATGATAAGCAAGAGTGACTCTACCAAAATTGTGAAATTCATAGCCCCAGGGTCATTGGTTCTGGTGTTGGGGGGGGGGGGGGGGGCTATATAGATCATATAGTGAAAGTGCATTATTTCTTTGAAAATCTTCTTTTCTATTCCTGGGTATTATTTAAACAGATTAAATACATAGTTATGATAAGCAAGAGTGACTCTACCAAAATTGTGAAATTCATAGCCCCAGGGTCATTGGTTCTGGTGTTTGGGGGGGGGGGGGGGGGGCTAAATAGATCATATAGTGAAAGTGCATTATTTCTTTGAAAATCTTCTTCTCTACTCCTGGGTATTATTTAAACAGATTAAATACATAGTTATGATAAGCAAGAGTGACTCTACCAAAATTGTGAATTTCATGGCCCCTGGGTCAGGGGTTCTGATGTTAGAACTCGGCTCTATTTATTATATAGTGAAAATGCATTAATGCTTTAAAAATCTTCTTCTTTGCTTCTGGGTATTATTTAAACAAACAAAGTACATTGTTATGGTAAGCAATGACCTCTTCCAAAATTGTGAATTTCCTGGCCCCAGGGACAGGGGTTCTGGTGCTAGGTTGGGGCTATATAGCTCCTATAGTGAAGGTGAATTATTTCTTTGAAAATCTTCTTCTCTGCCCCTGGGTACTATTTAAACAAACTAAGTACATTTTTATGATATGCAAGGATGCCTCTTCTAAAATTATGAATTTCATGGCCCCAGGGTCAAGGGTTCTGGTGAAAAGGGGGGGGGCTATATTGATTATATAGTGAAAAAGCAAAATTTCTTTGAAAATATTCTTTTCTGCTTCTGGTAAAAAAGCAGAGAAGCTAAGTATATAGTTATGATGAGCAAGAGTGCTTCTTCCAGAGTAGTGAATTGCATGACCCCTGGGTCAGATGTGCTGGTGTAAGGGTGGGGCTGTTGATAATATAGTGAAAATGCATTAATTCTATTAAATAATCCTGTCAGCTCCTTAATGTTAAGCAGATACATGTTAAGAAAGTGATTACTTATGAAGAGCAAACTTCTGGTCCCAGGGTGAGAAGCTCTGGTGTTTCTCGGTGGTGAAGGGGGGGGGGGGGGGCTCTATTGATAATATAGTGAATCTGTAGGAAAAATGCATTATTTCTTTAAAAATCTTCTCTGCACTTGGGCATATCAGAGGCAAAAAGAGTAAAAGTTGTAATAAGGAAGGGTATTTTTACCAGATTTTTGAACATCTGGACCATTTGGTCAAGTGTTCTGGTCCTAGCCAGGGCTCAATTTGCATTCTACTGAGAGGAGTTATTCCCCTTTGCCGTTTAGTTTTGATAATTAATCACTGTAAATAATGTACTTGAAAGGTTAATAGAATAAGAGAATTATGCAAGAATATTTATTGTATAATACAAAAATTATTTTCAAATTTTTAATGATCAGGTGGACTTGTAAGTAATAGATAAATAAAGATGAGACAAAAATAACTTGTCTTATTAAATGTTCATCAAAGACCAAGAGAGGCCAATGTAAGAGATTATAACAAGGAATTAAAATAGTATAGAAGCACTGATAGTTTGTTAATATACTTATGGTAATAGTGATAAATGGGGAACAGATTAGAACCTAATCTGTGAACTGTTAATGAATACTAGACTAATTATTTTGTTGATCCTGATCACCCTATTTTTCTTGCTTTTGGGCAACAAAGCTTCACCTTTCATTTTAATATTCTATGGATCCTCTAAATTGTTGTATTGTACTCAGGTGACCGTTAAGGCCCTTGGGCCTCTTGTTTATTTATTGGTTTATTTTGTGTAAAATATAATTTTTTTTTTTAAAGATTTTAGTCTTAGTATGAGCCTAGACAGATACATTTCATGCCAAGATTAATATTTTTTGTGGTAGGAATTTCTTTTCAATCATTTTAAACATTCTATTTCATTGTTTTCCTAGACCTTGCATTTCCATGACTATCTGGGTACAATACACAGTGTTTTAATTAAGGAAGATTTTAAGTCTCCAAGAGCACATCAGAGGTATGGTAAATCTTGATAATGTACCTAGCTGATAAAATGCCTTTTATTCTAATAACATTTATATGTTCTATATTTAGTTTTTATAATGATACAAAAATTATGTTTGACAATACAGTTGATTCTCGATAACGAATTTGGCGATGAATTTCCCATCTTTGGGGAAACAAGAAATAGAGTTGCCTTTCTTGGAAATAAAACCATTTAGCATTCAGTGATTCATTTTGGTGTGCGTCCTGCGTAAATTACGCACAAATTTTGCTAAGGACGCATTATTTCAATAAATGTGCATCCCACTGGACGCAATAAATTTATAGAAGGACATGTACTATTTTAAATTATTTCGGTATAATCTGATTCAAAACTTGACCGATTGCATCATATCCACATGCTAAATGATACGCATGAACGATTTTAACAGGTATAAGGTTGCCAACAACAGGTCAGATTTCACAACTGCAGTTAAAAGCAATTATCAGAAAATATTTGAAAGTTAGTTAGCATAGTTCGATTATCACTGATTAAGTCTATTACCGTGGAACGTTTCTGAAGCGAATACTATACCTTTGTATTTAAGCTGTAACCTGTATAATTGTTTTTTTTTCTTTTCGTTTTTTCATTACATGATAAGAAGTATAAAATTTAATCATTTTTATTTCTGACTATTTGTCATTTCTTCTTAAACTTTTTTTTACTTCATTCTGCTTCTATGCATTTTATAACTGATACAATGTGTGAGATCGTATGTACGATCTAAAAATAGAACCAACGTGCACAGTGGACAATATATTATTTTTACGACACAAAATCATGTACTCTTACTTGGACAATTAATAGTAAAAGTATAAATCACTCACAGCTACAATAAAACATTTGCACTTTCGTGCAATACCCTTTTTTTTCACTAGAATTTCCTCTGTAACATCTAATATACGGTACCCTTGGATTTGGACACATTGATTTTGGCACGGGACTCATTGTTGTCATTAAGAGGGGTCCTTTGGACCCATGATAACCATTTTCAAAATGAATCACTGAGCATTTATTCTTATAGTATAAAATTAAAACACATTTCAAAATTTGGAAATGCTTCAAATAGTTTTTTTTTAAGTACATTAATTTCGTTTTAAAACTAAATACACAATTATAAAATAAATACGTGTACATGTACACAGGTACAGGCGTGTAAATTTGAATGTCTGATATTGAAAAAAAAAAAACATGCTGTGTCGATCGATGTGATCTATTGCCGATTGTATGTAAAATAAATTTCTGTAAATAATTTAATTGTTTATGGCATTGTCATTGCTAAAACTTTCGTAATTAATACTATATCACTGTGTCACTATTTTTCAAGCAAAATTTGCATTGTTTGAAGTAGGTATCTTCAAAGAATATCATTGTCAGCAAACTCAAATTAACAACAACCACTTTTGTGGCAAAGCCATGACTGAATCATTTTTATAAAACAGAAAACAAAATTATAATAACAGTTGATATAATAACAATCGATATTAAAAATTATTGTTTATTTAATTCTTTAATGACATTTGCCTTGTCTGGCTTTACAACGGTGATCTACAGATAGGGACAACCAATTAGTTGCTTCACTGACCACATGCACCTGTGGTGGTGTATTGAGATAATTGACACTTTGAAATGGACATTTGTTGTGATAACAGGGTGGCGGATGGAGGTATGCAAATTGGGCCTTATAAATAGAATTTTATATATTAGGGGAAAACATTCTTAAAAAATCATGGTGTTATTGCAAGAATGGCGATGAATCAAATGGGGATAATTCAAGAATTGACTGTATTATCTAAGGTTTATAGAATAAAGAGTCTATTTTGGATGAAATTTTTTATAATAGGGCTGGGACGATACAATTTTTTCTATATCGATACATATCACAATATTTGAGCTATGATATATGTATCATGATATGTTTAATTGGTTATTAAATCTTTTATTTTGTATTGAAATGAAATATTTCTTCACAAGTAAGAATAATTTATTCAAAGAAGTTGTATATCTGTTGTAAAACAAATTATTTTACACAAATGGTGTTATTATGTATTTCATATTTATATTTAGCATACTTATTTTATATATTAAACCCAAAATGTTAAGTAAACAAAGAAAAACATGCAAGAATTTATTTTTTGTTGTTGCGATATTTCGATATTTCTTCATACGTATCGATATGTGTATCATCCTCACATAGAATAGATATTATCAATATCTTGATATATCGTCCCAGCCCTATTTTATAACATATGTATTACTTTTCAGTTTTGATCCACACGAAAAGATGAGGAAAGTGAAGTCAGAGAATGATTTCAGCAACATAGGTGAGAAACTGTCAAAATGATTTTTTTAGCTCACCTGAGCTGAAAACTCAAGTGAGCTTTTCTGATCACCCGTTGTCCGTCGTCCGTCCGTCTGTCTGTCCGTCCGTCTGTAAACTTTTCACATTTTCAACTTCTTCTCAAGAACCACTGGGCCAATTTTAACCAAATTTGGTACAAAGCATCCTTGAGTAAAGGGGAGTTTAAATTGTTAAAATAAAGGGCCAAACCCCCTTACAAGGGGAGATAATCAAGAAAAGACAAAAATAGGGTGGGGTCATTAAAAAATCTTCTTCTCAAGAACCACTGGGCCAGAAAAGCTGAAACTTATGTGGAAGCATCCTGGGGTAGTGTAGATTCTAAATTGTTAAAATCATGACCCCCGGGGGAAGGGCAGGGCCACAATAGAGAATCCAAGTTTTACATTGAAATATATAGAAAAAATGTTTAAAAATCTTCTTCTCAAGAACCATTGGGCCAGAAAAGCTGAAACTTATGTGGAAGCATCCTGGGGTAGTGTAGATTCTAAATTGTAAAAATCATGACCCCAGGGGGAAGGGCGGGACCACAATAGGGAATCCAAGTTTTACATTGAAATATATAGAAAAAAACTTTAAAAATCTTCTTCTCAAGAACCATTGGGCCAGAAAAGCTGAAACTTATGTGGAAGCATCCTGGGGTAGTGTAGATTCTAAATTGTTAAAATCATGACCCCCGGGGAAGGGTGGGGCCACAATAGGGAATCCAAGTTTTACATTGAAATACATAGAAAAAATCTTTAAAAATCTTCTTCTCAAGAACCATTGGGCCAGAAAAGCTGAAACTTAAGTGGAAGCATCCTTGGGTAGTGTAGATTCTAAATTGTTAAAATCATGACCCCCGGGGGAAGGGCGGGGCCACAGTAGTAAAAGTAAGTTTTACATTGAAATACTAAGAAAAAATCTTTAAAAATCTTCTCAAGAACCACCTGGCCAGAGAAGCTGAAACTTTTTTGAAGCATGCTGGGTTAGTGTAGATTCTAAATTGTTAAAATCATGACCCCTAGGGGAAGGGTGGGGCCACAATAGGGAATCCAAGTTTTACATTGAAATATATAGAAAAAATCTTTAAAAATCTTCTTCTCGAGAACCATTGGGCCCGAAAAGCTGAAACTTATGTGGAAGCATCCTTGGGTAGTGTAGATTCTAAATTGTTAAAATCATGACCCCCGGGGGAAGGGCGGGCCACAGTAGTAAAAGTAAGTTTTACATTGAAATACTAAGAAAAAATCTTCTCAAGAACCACCTGGCCAGAAAAGCTGAAACTTTTGTGGAAGCATCCTGGGGTAGTGTAGATTCTAAATTGTTAAAATCATGACCCCTGGGGGCAGGGCGCGGCCACAATAGGGAATCCAAGTTTTATATTGAAATATATAGGAAAAAAAATCTTCTTCTCAAGAACCACTTGGTCAGGAAAGCTAAGACTTTTGTAGAAACATCCTGGGGCAGCATAAATTCTAAACTATTCAAATCTTGACCCCTGGGGGTAGGGCGGGGCCAAAATAGGGAATCCAAGTTTTACATTGAAATATATAGGAAAAATCTTTAAAAATTTTCTCCTCAAGAACCTCTTGGCCAGTAAAGCTGAAACTTATATAGAAACATCCTGGGGTAGTGTAGATTTTAAATTGTTAAAATCAAGACCCCCATGGGTAGGGTGGGGCCACAATAGGTATTACAAAAAGATCGTCTGGTGAAGAACAGCAGGGCCAAAGTTATTCAGGTGAGCGTTGTGGCCCATGGGCCTCTTGTTTCTCTCTAACAAGCATAGATGTAATAATTGTTTAAAGCTGTACTCATCTTAAAAGGAGAAGTAAATCTACTGAAATGTTCTTTGTGATCCATTAGGATCTGATGAATTATTAGCTCACCTTAGCTGAATGTTTAAGTAAGCTATTTTGTTCCAAGGTTGTCAGTTGTTTGTCGCTGTGGACATTTACAGTATTAGCTCACCTGATCTGAAAGCTCAAGTGAGCTTTTCTGATCACCTGTTTTCAGGTGTCAGTCCGTCTGTAAACTTTTTACATTTCCAACTTCTTCTCAAGAACCTCTTGGCTGATTGTAACCAAAGCTGGTACAAAGATACCTTTGGTAAAATAAAGGACGGAGTCCCCTTCCAAAAGGAGATGATTAAGAAAAACAAAAGATGCTGGAGTCATTAAAAAAAACTTCCTTCTCAACAACCACTGGGCCATAAAAGATGAAACTCGTGTGAAAACTTCCTTAGATAGTGTAGATTTTAAATTGTTTAAATTCTTGGCCCATGGGGTAGGGTAGGGCCACAATAGGGATTCAGAGTTTTACATTCGAATATATATATATAGGGAAAAATCTTCTCAAAATTCAGTGGGTAAGAAAAGGTGAAATTTATTTGAAAGCTTTCTGAGGTAGTGTTGATTTTAAATTGTTCAAATGAAGGCCCCTGGGATGGGTAAAAAAAAAAAAATCAAATTCTACATTGGAATATATATATATAGAAAGAAATCTTTAAAGCTTTATAATCTAATGTTTACGGTCTCAGAAAATTGTGAATTACTACATTCATTCATTTACAGTGTATGTTTCTCATTTATATCCATGGGTAAAAAAAAACTTAACACTGGCGGACCATACAGCTTTCAATCTTCTTTTGAAGAACACTGGACCAGACAAAAATGAAACTTATGTGAAAACTTCCAGAAATTATGTAGATTTTAAATTCTTCAAATCATGACCCTTAGAGGTTAGGGTGGCGCCAAAATAAGGAATCAAAGTTTTATATTGGGCTGGTCCAATGACCTCTTGTTCTCTCATGAATCACTGGGCAATTTCAGCCAAACTGACAAGATACAAATTATGCAATTTGTTCAATTAATTGGTTTTGTCAATTTTCAAGGGTTCCACAGGAAATTTTTTTTAGCCAAACATTGAAATATATTTACATTTGCAAATGTTTTCCCTTTATATATAAGTCTACCTGAGCAGTGTGTATCTATCACTGTACAGGGCTTTTAAATTTATTTCTTACTTGTCCATTGGACAAGTTCTATGAAATTTACCTGTCCTGACTTAGTTTTTACTTGTCAGATAGTCTTTTAAAGAATTTATTGACAACTAAATATTTTGTAAAATAAAAGTCTGTGATATATTTTCCACATGTAGCTAATTATGAAAGTTGTTCATGCTAAATTAAAAGTAAATTAGAAAAATAACAACAGCAAAAAAAAAAAATTGTAGGTTTCACATGAAAAGTTAAATTACTTTTTTCGGCCCTGTTAATACTCACTACACCATGTACAGTGCTTAATATTTTGCATGTGTTATTGAAGATTTTAGATTTCGAAATATATTCTCTTATGGTAATCAAATCCTCATTTGTTTGTTTCAGAATTACCTGATATGGCATATGTAAGCAGTGGGAAGCTGTATTTTCTAACCAGACATGCAGATAAAAAAGAATGGGAAAAACCAAGCAAATACCTATTCACTGCATCGATACAAGTGGGAAATGTAAATCAATATTCATACAAATAGTACTTTTTATGTTTTGAAAAATTTTTATTAGGAATTTTAAAAAAATAGTGATTAGTTCAAAGAAGATGGGTGAACAAGGCGTGCAGAATGCCTATAGCTTCAGATATTATTAAAATCGTATTCAATTTGTGAATTAAGTATTAAAAATAAAGTTCTCATTATTGAAATTTATGAAATTTTGATTAACAAAAGTTTTCTGAGAAAAAAGATCTCGGAAAAAATTATTCTTTTATTAAAAAAATAAAATGGTATTCGTGGGATTCGAACCCCTATCAATAAAAATCCGGTGTATCATATTGTTTTGAGACTAACACGCTAACCACTACACCACGCAGCTCCTGACGAATATTGGCATTTAAATCATGTTTGTGATATGACACTTGACTTAATGGACTTCAAGTATTTCTCGGAAAGATGAGAATGCTTTGTCATAAAAGTGTACTTTTAAGATATAGTGGGTCTTTGCTCCATGTTTTTGTAAACCAAAAAATGTATGTTTTTATGCAAACTTTTAGGATCAACTTTCAAAAAAATGGAGCGAAGACCCACTTATATCAAAAAATTTGGTTAAAGTGTGAGAAAATGATCCTTTTTGTCCTCTTTAGTGTGTGTATGCTATTTCGTAGGCAAATAATTTCAGTCTTTGTGAGATTTTTGTAAATTGTAGAGATTTAGCATAAAATATACTTTAATGTTAGATGAAATATCAATGAAAATTTTTATATAATTGAGATTTTATTTTTCACTTCATGTTTGTCACAATATAGGCACTTCGCACGCCTTGTTCACCCATCTTCTTTCTTTGAATACTGTACCTGTTACTACATGTATTATGTTGTCACCAGGTAGCTGAATTTTATAGTAATTATGCATTGTAGTTATGCTTTTAAAATCTTCGAAAATAGAACATCAAAACATGCCTGAATTTATTAAGTATCTGCTAAGAAATAATTAGAGTTGAAGTTAATAAACATTTTTTGTAAGATAAACAACTATAAAGTAGTTTTGTAATTTCTAAACACTAATTTCAGCTTGAAAGGAAAGAAAAGTTTCCAAATATTACAGCAATAATGGAAAATATTGATGGAAATTTAACATGCATGGAAAACCAACCTGCTGAAGGTAAGATGTGGTACCGTAAAGTCGCGTGTATTGGCTGCAATGGTGTAAAAGACGCGCCCCCAAAGTTGGGGTGAAAATCCTGAAAAAAACGCATGTCCTATGTAAAATGCCCATCCAAAAAACGCATAAATTGGATGTGACTTTAATTTTTCTGTACAGTATCTTAAGATAAAAGTAGGAAAATTTACGAATCTCAAATGAAAGTAGCAAGTCAGCTTTTTTTATTCTACGTATTGTAAGTGTGCATGTGTGAACATTTAAATGTAATCTTTTTAATAATTATCTCACCAGATATAATAAAAGAATTACCTGATTATTTTCTTTTCAAAT